ATGTAAAACCTGAGGAAAGAAGTGCTGTTTCGAACAACAGAATTACTAAGTCTTTTACTGCTTTGTCACTTTTGTCAGCTTCTGCTTTCTGACGAAGAGTTTCAATAATAGCATGATCAGGATTTATTTCAAGGTGTTTCTTTGCTGCCATGTATCCCATAGTAGATGTGTCCCTAAGAGCTTGAGCTTTCATAATCCTCTCCATATTGGCAGTCCAGCCATATTGTGAAGTAACTATGCAGCAAGGAGAATCAACTAGTCTGTTCGATACCACAACTTTTTCTACTTTGTTATCAAGAATGTTTTTCATTACTTTACATAAATTTTCATACTTGGCTTTGTCCTCTTCTCTCTTCTTTTTCTCTTCTTCATCCTCAGGAAGCTCTAATCCTTCTTTGGTTACAGATACTAACTGTTTTCCATCAAATTCTTTCATTTGTTGTACTACATATTCATCAATTGGTTCTGTCATATAAACTACTTCAAAACCACGTTTTTTAACACGTTCAACAAATGAACTGTTTGCAACTTGTTCTTTACTTTCTCCAGTAATAAAGTAAATATGTTTTTGATTCTCTTTCATTCTGCCTACGTAATCTTTAAGAGAGCAAACTTCATCTCCGGAAGATGAAGTGTGATACCTCAAGAGATCTGCCAATTTACTACGATTAGAGCTATCCTCATGAATACCTAATTTAATGTTTTTGCTAAATTGTTCATAGAATTTCTTATAATTATCTTTATCTTCTGTGAGTTCTTCAAACAATTCTATGCATTTCTTAACAAGGTTTTTACGAATAACCTTTAAGATTTTATTTTGTTGAAGCATCTCACGAGAGATGTTTAAAGGAAGATCTTCGCTATCAACTACTCCTTTCATAAAATTCAAGTATTCTGGAATCAACTGTTCACAATTGTCCATAATGAAGACTCTTCTTACATACAGCTTAATATTATTTTTTCTCTTCTTATTTTCAAATAAGTCAAATGGCATACGCCTTGGTACAAAAAGTAATGCTCTAAATTCTAATTGACCTTCTACAGAAAAGTGCTTAACAGCCAAATGATCTTCCCAATCATTTGTCAATGATTTGTAAAATTCACCATACTCTTCTTGTGTTATATCATCAGAATTTCTAGTCCATATTGGTTTTGTTTTGTTCAGTTCTTCATCTTCGGTATATTTCTCCTTGATGGTCTTCTTTTTCTTTTTCTTCTCTTCTTCTGTTACCTCTTCAGCTTCATCTACATCCTCAACCTTTGGTTTTCCATCATTCTCTTCCTTTTTTTCTTCTTCTTCAGCTTCAGCTTCATCTTCACTCAGTTCTTTTTCACGTTCTTTCTGTACTACTAATTTAATTGGATAACCAATGAACTGAGAATGTTTTTTCACAATTTCTTTAATTTTACTTTCTTCTAAGTATTCAGATTGATCTTCTTTTACATGTAGAACAATCTTTGTTCCTCGTTCCAATGGTTCTCCAATATCGTGTCTAATAATAAATGAACCACCAGCACTAGATTCCCAAATATATTGTTCATCATCGTTGTGCTTGGAAACAACAGTAACTTTATCTGCTACTAAATAAGCAGAATAAAAGCCTACACCAAATTGTCCAATCATGGATATGTCTGCACCAGCTTGAAGTGCTTCCATAAAAGCTTTAGTGCCAGACTTGGCAATTGTACCAAGATTATTTATCAAGTCAGCTTTTGTCATACCAATACCAGTATCAATAATGGTCAAAGTACCATCATTCTTATTTGGAATAATTTTAATAAATAATTCTTTGCCACTATCAAGTTTAGAAGGATCTGTTAAAGATTCGTAACGTATCTTATCAAGGGCGTCACTAGAATTTGAAATCAGTTCTCTCAGAAAAATTTCCTTATTAGAATAAAAAGTATTGATAATCAGTGACATAAGTTGAGCAATTTCTGCTTGAAAGGCAAAAGTTTCCACGTCTTCTCCTTTCGTTTCCATTTCCATTGACATCTACAATAAATATTTAAAAAACAATTAAACAATTTCACACTTATTTTTTTTTAATTTTTACATAGATAAAAGATCTCGTGATATTATTTTTTCTGGCACATTTTTACGAAAGTATTTCATAAACATGTGATATGTACTAATATGTATATGTACCACATGTATAAATATAAAACCCACTGCACTTTAAGTGATATAATTTTTTTAAGAAATACAAAAATATATTTATAAATAAAAATAAATCAATGATTTGAATTAAAGGAAAGAATGTAGCATTATACTGGAAATACTATACTTCCGTGTAGTAAAATTTGACAAAAATTTTAAATTTATAGAAATTTAACAATTAAACGATTTAGTAAATAAATTTTATATAAATTTATTAAATACCTTTTCCTCTTTACTAATCGATTTAAAATTATATCTTGAGATTCAACCAAATATTAAAACACGTTTAATTAAAACACAGAAATGAACGAACACACTATCGGACACCTGGTAGTTCATTGAATGGACTCGTGCGACGTCTAGGTTTCTCTTTATATACTCAGCAAAATTCTAGAATGTTCTAGAATGTTCTAGAATATTTTTTCTATTCTGCACAGTTCACATCCGGTGGAATTTAAGTTTATCTCAATAATCTTTGATCAATAAATTTCTTTCACTTCGCTACTAATATCGTTTGCCTACTAAGAAATAAAAATACATAATATTCCTTCAATCGAAAATCGGATTGCATGCTGCATCTTGCAAAATTGCACATTGGTTCTTTTTTTACTTAGTGTGGTACTTCCGGAATTTGTTGCGAATCGAACATTATTACCGAATAAATTATTCTTACGTCCACGCTTCTTGTTAATTAATCATAAACATGGTGGTTGAAATATTGGTGCTATCAATCAATATGTAAAATCGGAACGTATCGTTTACTTGAAATATAAGTTATCGGTGATTATGTCATCAAATTAAGCTAACTTTCTGA